TCTACAATAAATCAAAAAATTAGCCAGGCGTGGTAGCACGCGCCTGTAGTTCCAGCTACTTGGAAGGCTGAGGTGGAAGGATCGCCAGAGCCCAGCTGGTTGAGGCTGCAGTGGCCAGGAGCAGCCACTGCACTCCAGTCTGGGTGACAGAGTGAGACTCCAACTCCCGAAAAAAAAAAAAAAGCAAAGACAGTCATTCCTTCTGCTCCCATTCTATCTGGGCTCCCTGTCTAGCTTTGGAAGCAGCTTTCTCACCTGTTTGGCTTCAGGATCCCTTCATACTCTTAAAAACTACAGAGATCCCAGTTAGTTTTTGTTCATGTGGGTTATACCTATTTATATTTTACAATCAGAATGTAAACTAAGAAATTTTAGGCCGAGCACAGTGATTCAAGCCTGTAATCCCAGCACTTTGGAGGCAGAGGAGAGAACTGCCTGAATCCTGGGGTTTGAGGCCAGCTTGGGCAACTTGGTGAGACCACCGTCTCTACAGCAAAAAAAAGAAAAGAAAAGAAAATAATAAGCCAGGTGTGGAGGCACACACCTGTAGTTCCAGCTACTTGGAAGGCTGAGACGGAAGGAGTGCCTAAGCCTAGCAGGTCGAGGTTGCGGTGGCAATGAGCGTGCCACTGCACTCCAGGCTGGGTGACAGAGTGAAATACCAACTCAAAAAAAAAAAAAGAAAAGAAAGAAAATCCAGTCTCATACAAATACATAACTTGAAAAAGGGAGGAAAAAGTTATAGCCTTTTTATATAACTACATATTCTTGATATGACACTGAAAGTAGACAAAAGGTGGTTTGTCTCTTTTTTGGTCCAAAAATGGTAGTTTCTTAAAAGTTAGTTTTAGTGGCTGGGTGCAGTGGCTCAAGCCTATAATCCCAGCACTTTGGGAGGCCAAGGTGAGGGGACTGCCTGAGCACATGGGTTCTAGACCAACCCAGGCAACTCGGCGAGACCGCGTCTCTATAAGAAATCACAAAAACTAGCCGGACATGGTGGTGTGCATCTGTAGTTCAGGTTACTTGGTAGGCTGAGGCAGAAAGATCACCTAAGCCCAGCAGGTCAAAGCTGCAGTGGCCATGAGTATGCCACTGCACTCCAGCCTGGGTGACAAGAGTTACATTCCAACTCAAAACAAAAAGCAAAAAAAAAAAATTAGTTGTACTGTGTAATCTGAAATCAAATCAGTAAACTTGTTGCACTAAAATCCATTCATTTACCATGCTTTTTGAATGGATGTTTTACCCATGCCTACTTTTGTGATATACATATGTACTATATTGGGTCACTGAGCTATGCTGACACATTTCATTACAAAACAGCAGATAATCACATTCATTAATTTCACCACAAATCCCATCAGAAAATTCCTCAAGTACTGGGAAGCTGTCAAGCTTATGGTGGGAGATACAAGTTTTTCAAAATTCTAATTTATACTTTAAAATTCAAAATCTGACTACTATCAAATTTTTTCCCTTGAAGCAACAGATTCACTTTACTTATTTTTGATAAAATGTCTCTCAAGCCGGGCTCGGTGGCTCAGCCTGTAATCCTGCACCTTTGGGAGGCTGAGGTGAGTAGATTGCCTGAGCCCGCGGGCTCAAGACCCGCCTGGGCAGCGAGACCTCATTTCTACAATAAATCAAAAAATCAGC